TGCTCATATTTTTTAAATGTCATTTATATTGACTCCTTCTTTCTCTTTGATGCCTATTAGTCTCATATTGTTCATCTTTGTGTCATCTTGCAGGTGATGGATTATTCTTTCCTGCATCTTAGTTGTTTTTAAGAGGTCTTTTCTTACCTTTTCACTAGTTGCACCAGTGTGTTCACTATCTGAAACTCTGTGTTCACTTTCACTTAAGCGGTTTTACAAGCTTGTGATTGTGATTTAAATTTCTCTACATCTTTTTGATTCTGCTTCATGCAATCTATTTCTTTCCTGTATTGCTCATTCAGGGAATCCGTCATTTTTCTAATCTCCTCTATTTTTTTAATCAATGTCTTCTTTAGAATCAGCTATAAATTCTTTTACTGTAGTGTTTTTTTTCAGATTGGGTTTCCTCCCTATGTTTCTATAGTTGATTCTTTACTTCAGATGCTATGAGTTCTGAGAATTCTTTTTCATTTCAGAAAAGCATTCCTCTCTGAATTCCTCTATGACTTCCTGGTGTTGCTTATTTACCATCGACGCTATTACTTCATATATTTGAGCTTATCTGGTGTCCTCTACACTTGTTCTGGGTGGGCATTGGGTTTCCTCCATATGTTTCTGCATTTGATTCTTTATTGCACATGTTATTAATTCAGGGATTTCTCTTTTCATTTCCAATCTGAGTTCCTCTATATCTTTTAGCAGCTCTTTTCTTATTTCCGAAGCCATTGATTCATTGCTTTCAGCTGTGCGATTCCCAATTTGTTCTGTGTTAGTGTCCTCTGCACTTGTTAAGGGTGGGCTTGGGTTCTGAGATTGCATTTTGCTCCTTCTTGTTGTCATTTTGTGTAGCACTGTCTTCTGACCTTTGTTGTAGATCTTTGTTGCAGTTATAACCTTAGCACACACTGAAGTTCAGGTACAGATGTACAAAGTTTGGATTTATCCAGCTGTGCCTGGCTTGGTCCTGGCTCCTGTGCTCAGCTTTTTCCTGCTGCTGCCCTTGGGGTTGAACCTGTTGTGCCCCTCTGGCAAGATGTTCTTCTCATGCATTAGCTGGGTGGATCTGTCCCCTACACTCTCTTCAGGGATTGCAGCTGCAGGGTTTCACCCCAGGCCTGCATGCCAGGCCTAAGCTGAGTCTGGAAGGGACAACGTGGAGTAGGTGGGAGAGGAAGCTCTCCCACACACTCATCAGGCCTAGAGTAGGACTGTATCTGGGGTTTCCCGGAACGTGACAGAAATTACTACTCTGTGGGTGGGGCTTGGGGGGGTACTACAGAGTGATGGAGGGTGTCCCAAGAGGGTGAAAGAGGGTGTCATCCACGCTGCGCCTGGGCTGGGACCAATAGGTCACGCTGGCACATGGTAGCCCGATGTTCTCCCACACACTCACCAGGCCTGAGCTAGGACTGGATCTGGGGTTTCCTGGAGTCCGTCAGAAATTCCTATTCAGCGGGTGGGATAGGGGAGGTGCTGCGGAATTGTGGGGGGCGTCTGAAGAGGGTGTAAGACGGTCTCACCCAATTTGCGCCGGGTCTGGGACCAGTAGGTCCTGCCAGTGCGTTGTATCCAGAGGGTCTCTCACATAGTCACCGGGCCTGGGCTAAGACTGGGCAATAAAATCTAGTTTTACAAAATATGAATGCATTCATTTTCATGAGTACATATTTTCTGTGCATAATGACCACAAAATAAAGGATAAGATGATAAAGGAATGTACAAACCACATGTTTGCTGATGTTATGGAACTCTTGCATTTTTATTATTTAGATTCTATTTACATTTATATGGAAGTGTGGTAGAAAATATGAATTTGTAGCTAGATAAATTAAGATGCTTTGTGATTCTCTTTCTTTTTGCACTTCCTTCTTTGTTTCTCATTTTGTGTTTGAGTACTTGTCTGTTTGTTTTGGAGCATAGTAACAAGGATTGAGTGTAGGTCCTTATCCTTAATCTGCACCACCAGTCATGCTCCCTATTTTTATTTTTTGTCTTCATACACTATCTCCCTACTTCCATGGTCAAGGCTCGGTTTGAACTTGTAATTCTGCTGTCTTTGGCTCCCAGAGGGCTGTGACAATTGTGAAGAAAGGGGACAAATGCTATGGAAGCAAGGATAGTTGTTACTGATCAGTCCCTGGAATTCAATATCACTTTAAACTCTTCTTCAAAACTGAAGTAATCTCAGGCCAGCTAATCCTGCTGATTAGGCAAATTTAGGTAAGTGCAGAGACCTCGGTTCAATCTCTGGCACCACATGGCACACCAGCCCAATCACAATGGCAGGTTGAGCTGGCCAAGAGTCTAGGCGTGGTGATACATGCCTGTATTCCCAGAGCTGGAGAGGCCGAAAACAGGAGTATCATTATGAATCTGAGCTGTGTGGTGAGACTCTGTGATAATCAAATACATTTAAAAAAAGATGCAGAACAAAAGACAAACAACAAAACTGAAGTAATCTCATTGTTCCCATGGGCAATAACCTCAATGATTTGAGAGTTTAAGGCATAATCATAACTACATGTATGTTTTTGTGATGAGTTTCCCTCTAATTTAGAAGAATCCACCAGTGACAGAGAGAACCAGTATTCAATAGGGCAATAAATGATGGATACCCACAATAGAAATTCCCAGAGAAGAAATATTGGGAGGATGTTGGAGGTGCTTCTGCATTGTAATTCATCAGGGTCAGGATAGCAACCAGGAGTCCTGAAGGAGGGTGTTAACCCCCTAAAAAGGAAAACTTCTGCTTCCATATTGGAGAATGAACCAATAACATTCTCTTCCTCTTCCAGTTCAGGGGTTTGTTAACCCTCCTGTGCACCGCGCTTCATTTCCTATAGCTGCTTCTTAGTTGGACATTTAAGAGTATACATTTCCTGAAGTTAGTAAAGAACTTTAAGGATGGTTTGAGAGAAGGAAAAAGATGTGAACAGTAAAGCAGTGAGGAAGGGACTTTGATAACAGGGCTACTACTTATTAATTTAGGTCTTTCATTTTGCTATTCTGAAATGTATTAAACAAAGTAGTTCCATTTGTGAGTAGTTATTAGTAGAAAATAAGAAAATGGGCAGAGAAATTGTACATGTTAGTTCATCTAAACAGATTCATCAGACAGGAGTTAACCATGGTCCTTCATTTCATGCAGGAACACAGAACTATGGAAGAATAAGACATATATAAATTTGTAAGTGTGAATTTCCTTTCCTTCATGTCATAAGGTTTGGGATCACCTTAAGATTAACACTCAGCACCTTAGTGATAAAAATGTTGATTAATTAACTAGTAAATACTTATTGATTCAGTAATTCGATAGAAATCTTTTATTCATTAATTAAATGAACACAACAGTCATTATTTTACTCATAGGTGATAAGACTACATCTGTGATGACATAGACCAAGATGTCTGCTTTCAGAAAGTTTACATTCTCATTATTTTAAGGAAACCCAATCAAGTTACCTGCATAATTATTTATTTTCATGCCAGTATAGTTGACAGGTTTGGCGAAATGGGTAAGCTTCTTAAATATTACAGTTGTATAAAGCTCAAGAGGAAAAGATAACTGAGTAAAATAGTAACAATAGAAGAAATTGAATCTCATTAAAAGGCTGTTCTGAAAGAAAATGCTAGACCCTGTGGGCTTCAGTAATGAAAGTGTTAACTCTGAAGAAAAATGTATCAGCAGAGATTAGACGGAGAGTTTCCTACTCTTTTAGGAGACAAGGGAAAGACTGATGCACAATAAATACAATAGAGATGATCATCTTACCAGGATTACCTTTATATAATCATTGTTGCTATAAGAAAATCAAAGGAAATAGGTGACAAATTTATTAAATACAGCATGAAAAAGTTCACTGGAAATGAATCTGCTTCAAACCAGGAGGAAGGGCTTGTCTAACATTTAGAAATTAATGAATATATTTGTGATCACACAAATACAATGATGATGACAAACAATAACTTTAATATTATGTAGAAAGTACATTTGATAAAGTCCAATAGCCTTTCATAACTTTTTTAAAAGGGAAGGTTTTTAAGCAAATATCGTAAAACCAAAAAAAAAAAAAAGAAAAAAAAGAAAAAAAAAGAAAAAAAGAAAAGAAATCCTTCAGCTTTCTATATGAAAAAATTTAGGAAATAGAAGTACATATTTGCAATTCTTGGTACTCAAGAGGTTGAGGCATGAGAATTGTAACTTTAGGACCAGCCTAAAAATCTGTCAGACTTTGTATTAAAATAAAATTAAGAGGCCTGGAAACACACCTTGCACTGTCTGTGTTCAATCATTGTGGTCTCTTTATCGAAGTATTAAATCTCTGTAGTGAGCATTTTGTCTTATGGTAAAATTAAATTTTATTTGTAATTTATATGATTTTTTTCTAAATCCCAGGAGTCCAAAGCATTCCTTTTTCTCTTATATTCTTTTCTTACATTCAATTCAGTCAGAACACACATTTAGTGTTATGGTTTGTGTCCACCTGTCCCTGTAAACTTCATGTAGTCATTGAGGAAGCCTTCTAGAGTTTGTGAACAATTCCTGATCTAATGCTGAGATGAATGACAGGTATGAGTGCCACACCTGTCCTGGGCTGGGGATGGGAGAGAGGTTTGACTGCTGCCACACCTGCTGCTCCTCCCTTTGCTCTTTGCTGCTTTATACTGTCTTGTACAGCTGTCCTCTGCCTTATGCCACTCTGTCTTAGAGCCATCTGAGTTTGGATTGAAACCTCCACAAACTGTGAGCTGAATAAATTTTTCTTTTCTTAATTTTAGGGGTAGGTATTTTGTCCCAGCAATGAAGATAAAGTAATTGAGACATGTAAGTGAAAACAAAACAAAAATGACATCCATAGAGCCCATTATCTATTTCTTTTCCCTCAATTGAGAGGACATATAAGTAATTTTCCAAAGCAAATATTCAAGGGCATAGCTCAAATTGAAATAAAACTAGAGGTGAGATTAGGAAAAGATGAAAGACAAGCCAAAGCCCCTTCTCACATTTTTGTTAATGCTTCATCTGCAGGAGGTGCCAAAGAACTGGTGGCTGTGTCAAAAGCCTGGGCAATGTTGTCACTCAGGGCCCTCTCCAGTGTGATGGGCAGAGAGTGGATCAGTCTCTCTCGGAAATCCTGACCCACAAAAACATAGAGTATTGGGTTAAGACAGCTGTTGAAGCAGGCCAGGGACATTGTTGGAAGTAACAGTAAATGGTATATATGTATTATCTTGTCTTCATACAATTCAATATCTTTGACCCAGACTTTGCCTACAAGCAAAATCAGTTGAAAGGGAAACCAGCAGATAAAGAAGGAAGCCACAACAGCAATGAGGACCTGAAAAGGACGGCTAGACTTTATGATGTGCATTCCATGAATCTTGGCAGCTATTAGCCCATAACAGACTAACATGGTGGACATGGGCATGCAGAAGCCAATAATGAACTGGGTAATCCCCATAGGTAATATTATAGCACGGAGTACCTCCATTTGTTCTTCCTCTGTGAATCCCAAAGGTTCAATGGAGTCTAGACAGTACACATTCCCTTTTGCATCACTTACTGTATTTGGGAAGATGAAAGCTGGCAAAGAGAAGACTACAGCAAGAATCCAGGATCCAACGACAACTTTTTTGGCCAGATTGACATTGCGGTGCTTCTGGGACCACACTGGATGCAGGATACAGATACAGCGATCCAGAGAAATGACAGCAATCAGGAAGATGCTTCCATATTGGTTTATGGCCATCATGATGTTAGTGAACTTGCAGAGGAACCACCCAAAAGGCCAAAGTCCTCTCATGGCCGTGGAGACAATGCAGAAAGGTAGGGTAACACTGAAGAAGAAGTCGGCAAGGGCCAGGTTCAGGTAACATATGGTGGTGACTGTACGTGTCATCCGGAATCCAGCCACCCAGATCACCAGCCCATTGCCCAGCACACCAAGGACAAAGGTGATCGAGAGAAGCACCATTGAGACTATCCATAAAACAGCACGTATGGTGTTCTCATGGCGCATCCATTCAGATTCATATGGAGGTACTGAGATGTTGGCTTCCATGCTGCCCACACCTGAAACATTAAAAAAAAACAACAACTTCTCAAATGTGGGTTCATATTACAGCCTCAATATTCAGGATCTGTTTCACCTGCCATGCTACGTCTAACTCTACCAAGGGAGCTCATTTTACTAATGCTTATGCCCAGTAATGAAATAAAAGTGGATATCTCTTGCATGTTCACTACAAGGTAAAATACTCCACATTCTCACAATTATAAGTACACATCTGCCTCTCAGGTAAGAGGTTGACCACAACTTTCCCACTTACAAGAATACAAAATTGAGGATATACAGTTAAGAGAACCTTGAGAAGGTTCACATACTATCTACACTCAAAGCTTCACATACTAGCTACACTCAAATCTTCATGCCCAATGGGTTTTTACTCATGAAGTTATGCTTAAAGGCCAGCAATTCCTTGTACTCTCCTTCAGCTCCAGGTTCCTCTCATCATAAGGATCTTGTACATCCCCAGTACGACAGTCTTTTTCTAAATGTATTTGGTTGTTGCAGTGTCTCACTATACAACTTGGATTCATGATGATCCTCCTGCTTTTAGCCTCCCTAGAGCTGAGATTGCAGACATGCATCATGACTCCTGGACTCTCATTGACTCAGCCAGCCCTGGGGTATGGCTGGCTACGGTATGTAGTGCCAGGGATCGAATCTTGGCCCTTGTGCTTTTGCCTAAGTTTTCCAAAGCAGGCGCTTTAGTCTGCTGTACTATCTTGCCGGCCCAGTGTGAGACTCTTGGGTGATCGAGAGTGGCACCATTGAGAATATCCATACAACAGTGAGTACAGTGGCCTTATGGCGAATCCATTCAGATTCATATGGAGGAACTGAGATGTTGGCTTCCATGCTGCCCACACTGGAAACATTTCAAAAGAAATCAACTTCTCGAGTGTGGCTTCATCTTACTCCCTCTATATTCAGGATGAATTTCACCTCCCATGCTATCTCTTACTCTACAAAGGGAGTTCATTTTACTAATGCTTATGTAAAGTAATAAAATAAAACTATGTCTCCTGCATGTTCATTGGAAAGTAAAGTTCTCCACATTCTCACAATTATAAGTACACATCTGCCTCTCAGGTAAGAGGATGACCATAACTTTCCCACTTACAAGAATACTAAACTGAAGATGTACAGTTAAGAGTACATAGAGCAGGGACAGCTTCACATACTGACTACACTCAAATCATCATGTCCAATGGCTTTCTATTCATGAAGTTATGCACAAAGACCAGCAATCCCTTGCCATCTCCTTCTGCTCCAGGTTCCTGTCATCATATGGGTCTTGTACAATCCCAGTGTGAGAGTCTTTCTCTAAATGTATTTGGCTGTTGCAGTGTCTCAATATACAGCTTGGACTCATGGTGATCCTCCTGCTTTCTGCCTCTCCAGTGCTGGGATTACAGACATGCATCATGATTCCTGGAGTCTGGTCAGCTCAGCCTGCCCTGGGGGCAGGGCTGGCCATGACATGTGATGCCAGGGATCGAATCACGGCCCTCGTGCTTTTGCCTAAGCTTTCCAAAGCAGGCACTTTAGTCTGATGAGCTATCTTGCCGTCCCAGTGTGAGAGTCTTGACAGTTCTGTCTGCCTAGTGTTTTTGTTGATTCGTTTATGGAATTTCCTCGAGTATGTAGTTGCAAAGAGGCCTGAATATTCATGGTAGTATATGGGACTAAGTTACAACCTCTGGGTCCTCTTCAAGAGGAAGTCAGTAAAGAAGACACCATCTTTTCTTTCTTTCTTTCTTTCTTTCTTTCTTTCTTTCTTTCTTTCTTTCTTTCTTTCTTTCTTTCTTTCTTCTTTCTTTTTCTCCCCTCTCCT